GGATTGAACCGCGGTCCCTGTGCTTTGCTAAGCTTGTTCTAAGTAGGTGCTTTAGACCACTGAGCCATCTCGCCAGCCCCTTGCTATGCATTTTGGACTGGCTTCATGCTCACCTTTGTAGCCTCCAGGCCGGCCTTGAATGTGCAGAGATCCTCCTGTCTCCACCTTTTGAGTACTGGGATTACAGCAGGTGCCACCATGCCTGCTTCCGGGCCTGCGAGATGGGTGCCCAGGCATGGGGCTGAGAAAGCATGGCATGTGGTGCTGGAGATCGAACCTCGGTCCCTGCACTTTGCCTGAGCTTGCCTAAGCAGGCGCTTTAGTCCACTGAGCTATCTCGCTGGCCCAAGTCTTTCTTTCCCTGAAGTGCACATACATTTTTCTTTTGTAGATATTGCGGCCCTGTGGGTTAGCTCAGTGGTTTAAGTGCCTGCTTGGGCAAACCCAGTCAGGCGCGGGGGCCTGCGGTTTGATCCCCAGCTCCACATGCCTTACCAGACCCACCCTGAAGGCAGCCTAGCCAGCACCCCCCAAAAAAAAAATTCCTTTTCATTTTTTGGCAGATGTATTCTTTTTTCAGAAGGGAGATTGAGATGGGGTTCTCATTATATAGTTGAGGCTGCCTTGAGCTTACAATGACCCTCCTGCCTCAGCCTCCTGGGGGCAGGGATTATAGGTGTGCATCACCATGCCTAAATCGCACATATATTTCTAATATGCACTGAAATAAAAAACAGCTGGAATTTTTTTTTTTTTAAGTTTCATTTGTAAGCCTGATGTAGTAACCCACATCGGCAGTGCCAGCTACTCGGGAGGCCCAGGCAGAAGGATTACTTGAGCCCAAGAGTTCAAAGTCAGCCTGGGCAGAGGGGAGAGATTCTACTTCAACAAAACAAGCCAGGCACGGTGGCGTCCCAGCACTAGGGAGGTCCGCGCACTGCAGACAGGAAGCCCTGTGCTCTACTGCAGTGAGTTTGCCTGGGGTCTAGGAAGACTTCCTGTGCTGGAGACGCACCATCCCTGTGCATGTCCAAGAGGAGGCCCTGGCCACAGGCAGAGAGGGCAGTGGAGGGGGTGGAGCGCAGACCCCGCTGACTAAGCCTCAGTCTCCTCAGCTCCCAAACAGGGATAAACTGGGCGAGGTGGTGCTGGTCTATAACGTGCCAGCAGTCCTACTGAGGCAGGAGGATCGCTGTCTGCCGTTGGAGGCCTGCTTTGGCTACATAGTGAGCCAAAAGGCCAGGGTGACTGCAGAGTGAGACAGTGTCTCAAAATGCAAAACAAGGGGCTGGAGAGATGGCTCAGTGGTCTAAAGCATCTACTTAGAACAAGCCTAGCAAAGCACAGGGACCGCGGTTCATCCCCCAGCACCACATGCCAGCCAGCCCCGC